TCCTCAGAAAGCTTTGTGTAAAGTTCAAGTATAAAATATAATTATACTTCAAGTGTATAGCAAATTCTTTAAACTATTAGACAATTCTCCTCAGAAAGCTTTGTGTAAAGTTCAAGTATAAAAAATATAATTATACTTCAAGTGTATAGCATAATATATATTTAGCAAGAAAATGAAACAGGAGTAATTAATTGGATAATTGAGGTCTAAGTTAATAAACTTAAGTTACCAGCCTATTGAGGCAAAAGGGCTTTCCTGGTCTTTAATAATCTAAGGTGATTTCTTTAGTTGTCCATTTCTTTTTAGAGTTGTAGTTTTTAAACAGTGTGTTATTATCTTAACTATTCAATTATTTTTGTGAAATCCAAATCCAATCAAATTTCGTTAGGTCACAACAGAGTCAATACTGGTTTATGTTTAAGGATTTCTCTGTATGTAACATGTGCTTTCACAGAATGATTTAGTGGTATTTCTTCAAGTTTCAACACCAAGAAGAAAGACCTGCACATCCTATATGTCAAATTTTCTCATATAGTTTTGGCAACGTTATACATGAAAGAAAATGCCAGGAGATTATATGAATCATTTAATTTAGCCCTCCTCTTTATGGTTCAGGGCCACATTAAAGCAAATTCTATACATATAACTTAAAAATCTTGAGTATCCATTTACTACATCTGTTGATATCATACAGGTTCATCTTTTAAAAATTAAATAATATGTCACATTTTGAACAGGTTCAAATGAGAAAGAATAGACCAAAACTTAATACATACTAAAGTTAAATCTTTAGTACATTTTATATTTCCATTTTTTCTTCTCATAAGCATTCAAATAAAAAGTAGTATGTACAAATTAGCTAGCAGAAATATAGAATTATAAGCTACTATATTTAATATTGCTTCAACATGTTATGAATACACACTTCCATATTCACCCTTGAAAATTCACCCATCTCTCTATGCATAAGAAATAACACTATCAGAAACCTAAAAAATTTAAATTAAGAAACCATCCTTGGAATCATCAATATAATTTTAGCACATTAAAATGCCTGACAATTCTAATTACTTCTAATAGAAATACTGTTTTAAGAAAAATATTGTTATGTCAGTGATAGATCAGCTATTCCAGTTTCTTCTTGGGTAAACATGTAAAAATAGTTAAACAATAAATTTCTATGGCAACAACTTAAATTCTAGGATATTCTTAGTTACAGCAGCAGTCACAGAAGCTACTACTTTCTTTAAAGCAATGTAACTAAAAAGGATATCTATTTTTCTCCTTTTCCATCAGGCACAAATAAAATCTTTTTTATTTTGATGAATAAAATGATTATTTAACTGGAAACAAGATATCTCAACTAATGAACATAACTACGGTTATATAAGCATATTTTAAAGACAAAACAAAAAAAGTAGCTAAACACTTGTAAATAAAAGTTATATGGTAAGACCATATGTATTATGAATCCTGCAAACTATATACTAGACATACATATATATATATAATTGCGACAGAGATACTTTATCAAAATGAATAAAACACTGGTGGTCTAAATAATAAACGTTCTTATACATGAAATCATTGGGTATCTTTTCTACTTAGCATTTTAACATATATACTATTTATTAAAATATTCTGATGGCCCTAATAATTAAAGAACCAATACACAGATAATTTAGATTTAATATCTTGAATATCTATAATTTATAAATTCATATAGCACATTCATCTTTTTTCTTCTATGTCATGTTTTCTTAATACATTTGGAGAATACCCTAAAGTAATCTCCACTAAACGAAGAGCAAGTTTCCTTTGTTGCATTTAGATTTAATATCTTGAATATCTATAATTTATAAATTCATATAGCACATTCATCTTTTTCCTTATATGTCATGTTTTCTTAATACATTTGGAGAATACCCTAAAGTAATCTCCACTAAATGAAGAGCAAGTTTCCTTTGTTGAAAGACATACTGGAAATATAAAGGGCCACCAACACATACTTGACAAAGAAGATACAACCTGGGTCCCTAATTTCTAATATAGTATTCTTATAGTTGTGTATTTGTTTAAATAGCTTTCTTTAAGAGGTTTTCAGATAAATAAATATTATTACTCCATTCAAAGAATGAGGTATTTGAGTATAACAGAAATTGCATTGAGATCCTGCTCCATTATTCACCATGCATGACCTGAGCTATTGATTACTCTCTTTAAGTCTCAATTTTTTCATCTGTATAATGGAAATAGCAGTACCTTACTAAATCATCCTGTAGTTGTGAAGGTTAAATTTAATAATTATGTAAATCACTTAGCACATGCCTGGCACACCATGAGCACTCAGAAACCATTGCAGCTACTATTTTAGTAGAGTAATTTTATCCCTTTAACCTTGGCTTCTATATTGTAATTTCTTTTTAATTAGGATAAAGAAAAGTTCTTGCTCCTGTACACATCTTCCAGGAGGAGTTCTAGTTTTCTGACTAGGCTAGCCATGTATCAGTTTTAAAAATTACTATCATGCCTCACTAAATATCTTTCATTAAATGTCACTTTCCACTAAAACATTGTTTTGATATGTGCCATTTTTTCTTTTCCTTCTTAAGGTTCTAATACTGTTGAATATGTGACTCTTCCCCTCCTCCAATTCTTCCATCACAAATAAATCTGTTGGTTGCTTACCAAGAACCCAGTTGTACTTTCTATAAATAGAATTAAAGCCTTCATTTGAAAAATAAATAAATTAAAAACAACACATAGTATTTGTTAGAGGATAGTAGGGCAAAATTTCATTGTCATTAAATGCAGTCCACGAACAAATTCAAGAGAGAAAATGATGAATGACCTTAGGAATAGTCATGGCTTATAATAAAGATTTTATTTTAAAAGTGTTAAAATAAATAATACATACTCCAGAACATCACTGTTCTGGAAATTATTTCCTTTAGAATATGAGTTCTAGATCACAAATCTACTTACTGCTGCTCTGGGGGCTTTCGCTAGCTGATTTATAATCCTGTACTTTTTTTTTTTTTTTTTTTTTTTAAT